GTTGGAGAGATCGAAATCATAAATCTTGGCAACATCATCATCAAACAAAAGCACATTGCTGGATTTGATGTCTCGGTGGACAACATGAGGGTTTGCCTTCTCATGCAAGTACTCAAGTCCCCTAGCCGCACCAACAGCAATTTTAATTCGCTGGTTCCACGACATAACATGACCTGGCTGTGCTCCTCTCACTCCTTTCCGACCTTCACCCAACAAACTCACCACATTTCATCACTTTTTCTTCCTATAATCTAGAAAATGGTTATAGTTTCACATGTACAACCGAATCAATGTTTAAATTAATATCTTACCATGAAGAATATCATGAAGAGATCCATTAGGAGCAAATTCATAAGCAAGAACACGGAGTGGTCCATCAACGCAATTAGCCAGAAGTGCATCAACATTGTCTTGTCTCAATCTCGAAACCATTGATACCTAGTTAACACTATTTATCTCAGTAACAACTCAACAAACCAATAGAGACAGGAGGAACAATGTCTAAAGATGATTTACTTAGTAGCATCCTACCTGGGAGAGAAACTCTTGATCAGGTTGTTTACTGGAATCAAGTTTCTTAATGGCAGCTGCCTTACCGCTTCTAAGAACACCATAAAACACTCTTCCATAAGAGCCCTCACCAATCAAGGATTTCGAACCCTAGTTATCGGTTATATCCTTCAACTCATCAGCTGGAATGGCAGGTACAGAGATAGGCTGCATCTGAATGACTGGCGAGTTCTTGGGTGGGTCTGGCTTATGATGGTGACCTCCACCAGGACCTTAGCAACGGTTGGAAAAAGTTAATCAACTTAGCCACTTAGCCAAAAAGTTGGACACAGTTGGATAATGGGTTACATAAGGTAAAGTGTACCTGCTGCGCGTACACCGGCTTTGGACCAGTTTCAACAACTCTACGAAAATCGTCACCGCCACAACAACCAAAGCAGCTCATTACGCTTTTCTAGCTATATAACTCAAAAAAAAAAAGAAAAAAAAAACTGAACAAACAGGTCAGCAATGGTGATGCAGAGCCTTTTTGTTTTAGTCTTTACATACGAAATGTAAGTAAACTAAATGATTTTTTTTCACAAAGGAAAATAGACAATACGAATATAGAAAATTTCAGACAGAACCTGAAACAAAAAGTTTCTAACATAGACAGAACTAACTAAAATCAAACGAAACAAAAACACGATCAAACACCAGACGAGACATTTAGGTCAATGATCGTAACCCCTAAAACGGATTCCACCATGAGTTCAATCAAAACATAATTATTAAGCATAAATAGATTTGTATACCATATCTTTTTTNAGAAAATTTCAGACAGAACCTGAAACAAAAAGTTTCTAACATAGACAGAACTAACTAAAATCAAACGAAACAAAAACACGATCAAACACCAGACGAGACATTTAGGTCAATGATCGTAACCCCTAAAACGGATTCCACCATGAGTTCAATCAAAACATAATTATTAAGCATAAATAGATTTGTATACCATATCTTTTTTTCTGACTCAGTAACTAATCCAGCCGAATACCAATCATTCTACTCAAAAATATGTTTTGCATAAAAGATACGCATACAGAAAGATTAGAATGCACCTGTCCGCAAAAGTAGTCAGGGGTACCCACAGAAAATTAAGCAAATTCAGAGTTACCAACCATCAATACTCAAAATTCTTTAGTTCAAAGGCTGCAGAAAAAAACACGTATGAATCCATATTATGAAACGATCAATACCTCTTTCTTGCTTCCGGTTTACCAAGATTGTTGATTGAAGCCTAAGAAGAGATCACTGAAGAATTTACCATGTTCAAGCCATTCACGGTGACACTTAGATTAGGCAGGGTAGACTTTCCGGTAGATCTAACAGATTTTTTTTCAATTATGATTCGAGGAAGTGGTTTAAATAGGAGGAGAAATAAAGGGAGGTGGAACGAAACCATAAATAAAGAACATGATTGAATGGTGTGGGTCGTGATAATGTTGATTTGCAGAGAATTGAAACAATGGCGATTGACTTTCGACGACGTAGTGGTAGAGGTAAAGACGTTTGCTTGCAAGATCTGACGTGGCAAAATAAAACCCTTTTATTGGTTAATTATTTTTTCTGACGTGGCATAGCTCATTGAGCTTCATATCCGCCTTTTAATATAGTTAGATATGCAGTATCGAATAAGCCCAACAAGAGACCTAGTATCAATTTGGCCCAAATAATGTCAAGTATTCGGCCCAAAATACAAACCGACCCGACGTATAAACACCCCTGAGGTTTTCTCGAACATTTGCATGATTGCATCGTTCATCGCTCTCCCGAGAGCCGACGAGTACATCCGCAAGCTTTACGCCGAGTTGGACAGTGTACGCGCCAAGGCTGATGCTGCTTCCATCACGGCGGAGAAGAGCAGACGTGCTCGCTTCTCGAGCAGAAGTACCTCTCGCTCTCTCACGATTTCTCCTCGCTCGAATCTCATTTTGAATTGTTAACTTGGTTAAAGATAGTTCAGTCAAAAACAAACTTGGTTAAAGATAGTCTTTACACAGAAGTTAATTATAGATTGAGCTTTCAGTAGAGAGGGATTAACAAGGACGGAGGTTTTCATAAATGATCATGCATGTGTCTAAAGAGAAGTATGAGGCAAGAGCTGTTGGCTACCATGTTTTATAATAGTAGAATATGTGCCATATAAGTATGTGTTAATGTGTCGTGTTTGTTTTGTATGAGGGGACAAGATATGAGAAATTATTAGTCTAAGTAGGAATAAGACTATATGGAGTACACGTGCAAATATGCTTTCCATTAAATTTTATATTTGTCTAATCTAGTTGGACAATAAATGTTATTGATCCTTATTAGTTATTACTTCGAGACTAATATACTAGGGCTTAACGATACTAATACAAGGTTACGTACAGTTGAGAAAGGCTAAATTTGTGGAAATATTAACTTAACCTCATTAAGCACGGCATAGTGTTTTCGCCTTTATGCCAAACGTAATTTTTCATTTTTATTTGATCGTGTTCATTATTTATTTGGTTGTAAGTGGTGTTGGCCCATTTTATATGTTACGGATCGAGTTGTTCCATCCAGATTAAGCAAAGACAAGTGGGAACAGCTCATGTGAAGGTCCAAATAATGTTAATTGTTGATTTCATTCTTAATTTGAACTTTAACAATTATCTCACGTATGTGCATTAAGAACAAAACATAGTCAAATGGTATCTCAATTATTTTGATTCTTGATCTGATTTTAGATATTATACTCTCATGCCTCACCGCCACTTGCTTAGGTATACAGTTCCTCGCTTTTTGTATAATAATTTAATATGAACTCTATTCAATATTGTTAACCATATAAATTATTATGGTTAGAGTATGTATAGGAGTCGTGTCATCTTATAGTTTTGTTTTTAGCGATTTTATAAGAGTACTAGGTGTTGACCCGCGCCCTGCGCGGAGTGAGATGATTTTGACTTTGATCGAACAATAATTTAGTATATTAATCTATAATAAATTTTATTTTTTTTGTTTGTAGAATTCAATTAGGTGTGTGGTCCTGGTGGCCGAAAATTACAAATAAAATATATAACTTGATACATTTTATAATATAATATTTCTAAAAATACATTGTAAGCATATATACATTATATAATGGTCCATTTCAAATTATTATCTTCGTTAATAACACAATAGTACACCGATTTCAAATTGCAATATCATTTGATACATTATATAATATAATAAACCCCAGGTTATATTACCCTTAAGAAATCAATCAATCTTCAAATAATATAAATGTCGTTATATGGTCTTGCTAAAATAAAAGAGTCTAGACATAATCAACATTTATTTATAGACAACTCTATAATACCCGATAAATATGTTTTAAAAAAAATCAATCAATATGCATTATGAATTGATATCGAACCGGAAACTGTCCAAGCAGATTAGGAAATTCATGGATACATGTTAACCATAATCATTTTTCTCTTATCATTTATGAAAATTGAAAAAAAATAAATTCATGAATACATGTAAATATTGTTATTTGAAGCAATTTTGAAATTTGAAAAAATTATACAAAGCCATGGTCCTTAATTTAAGTGACTGGTTATTTATTTCCAAATATTTCAGAAATTAGATGATCAATCACAAAAGAAAGAGTTTTGCCATATTCAAAAGCTTCTTAAATAAACTTTATCAAAATATATAGTAATATAACAAATCATCCTCGTCATCATAGCCTCTAATTGAAGACTATGTACCAAATCAAGTCTATGTGAAGAAATTCTAGTTGTATGCTAGAAATTTATAAATTTTATTTTTGGTTTGTAGTATTCAATTAGAGGTGTGCGGTTATGGTGGCTGAATATTCGAAATAAAATATATAATTTGACACATTTTATAATATAATATTTTCCAAAATACATTGTAAACATTTCAAATTATAATCTCATTTGATACATTGTATAACATAATAAAAACTGATTTATATAATATAATAAAAAACCGGTTTTAAATAACTGATTTTGATATAGTGTAATCTAAATTATACATTATATGTGTTACAAAAAAAATTATACATTATATAATATAATAAAAACTGATTTATATAATCATTCTAAAGTAGTAATCGGGTAAAATATGTTAACTGGTTTAAAAATGATAGAAAATATGTTACCAAATAACATGTTTCTTCCATGGTCTACATTAAGAATGCACTTAACCAAAACATACTATTAAAACATTATGCTAAACTACTATTAATGAATAATGGCAAAGAATGTAACTAAACGGAATGTTATACCTTTTTCTTATAATTGTATTTCCCTGTTTAACATGAATCAAAATTCGTTAGTAAATACAGAAAAAAAAATTACTAATATAACAGTAAATTTTATCAGTATATAAATCTTACCTTCTGGCTTCTCATCTCCTAGTAGCAGTTCTGATTTCTGGAATATTGGTCCAGTTTCTTTCTTCCTCTTGCATATAATCTTAACACGGACTGAAAACAAAGGTTTGAGAAGACTTAATTCTACCAATAAAGTATAACTACCCATAGCAAAAATTATCGAAAGAACTTGTTGTGAGATCGGGTTACCAAGGTGATATACATCTGTTAAATATATACTACTTCTGATTATAATCACGTTTTTGACAATTAGTATAAACAATGAAAACGTAATAAAAGCATGGAGACAAATTTGCGGAACTAAATTTTTGCCTTCCTTATTTATATATCGTAATTTATTTGGATGTGTACTAATGTGATCGGAGGTTAATGCTGGTAAACACTTTTCTTGTTTGCAAGGAAATAATATATTTGAAGGGTTTCATATAACACAGTCAATAGAAATTCTTCATTTGTACTAATCTCATGCATTAAATTATGATTTTCGTCATAAACATAAATATTATGCAATCATACAGATCTATGATTTTTATTATTTCAGGATAGTTGCCGTAGTTGAAAAAAATAATAAGCCTTTCGATGTATATTTTATATGCCATTAATTTTTAATATTTACGACTAATAAAAATTTCGATTATATTCATATATAACTAATAGTCCATACGAAATTTTTAATATTTACAATTAATAAAATTTTTGATTATATATAAAACTAATAGTCTATACGAAATAACCATATAACTTACAAATAATCATATTTTACATATTAAATTTAAATTGATGTTAGTTATTATCTAACATAATTTAATTTTATACATAATTACATAATCAATTATTAATGCTCAATCACACGGTCAAATTATGGATAGTAATATAATTAGCTAATCTCATTTGGAAAGATTAAAAGTTNAACTAATAGTCTATACGAAATAACCATATAACTTACAAATAATCATATTTTACATATTAAATTTAAATTGATGTTAGTTATTATCTAACATAATTTAATTTTATACATAATTACATAATCAATTATTAATGCTCAATCACACGGTCAAATTATGGATAGTAATATAATTAGCTAATCTCATTTGGAAAGATTAAAAGTTGTAATGGTCAAACTTTGTAACTTTCTATCTGTTTTAAAAAATATAATTAACATATGTGAGTCGGTCGATTCGGTAAAAGGCAATCCTAACTTTAGAAAGGTATGCAGAAATATCATATACAGAGATATATATAAAAAAAGATGCCATACATCTCTATTATGAACACGAAGTAATGTCAATACACCATGTACATATATTCATTTTAGTCTCATAAATATTCGTGCATATAAGGGAAATTGATACTACGCATGAATATAAGGGAAACTGAAATACTCATACAGATTCGGCCATTAATTTTGATTGAACGTAATTGTAGCCACTATTAATACTACTCATGCATATAAGGAAAACTGAAAATCCCATATATGATTACAAATACCAAATGTCACGGGCTCCATTTATGTTTCATTACTATACATTTGATCAAATGCCTTAGTGTATGTGTGTATTTATAATAACATATGTTTCAGTATGAATCAGTATGAGTGGAACCATGTTTAAATATAATGATAAAATTTAAATATATGACCAGTGGACAATAAGGACTTATGAAATAAGCTGATAGCATTTACGATTTTTATTTTATCATCTATTATAAAGATGATAGGCACCTATATGTAACGAAATATATTTTGAATATATCGTAGAAAAATACAATGAAACTCTTACATAATTGAATGTAAAANTGGAACCATGTTTAAATATAATGATAAAATTTAAATATATGACCAGTGGACAATAAGGACTTATGAAATAAGCTGATAGCATTTACGATTTTTATTTTATCATCTATTATAAAGATGATAGGCACCTATATGTAACGAAATATATTTTGAATATATCGTAGAAAAATACAATGAAACTCTTACATAATTGAATGTAAAATTGTTTATTAATTATAAAATCGTTCTATATGCACGTGAATAAAATAGTTGATAGAAATATACATTTAACATATATGATACAAAATCGATTGAGGCATGGAGTAAATGTGCCATTGCCATTGCTATATCATATCATATATCATATACATATTAATTGTTATGCGTATAATACGTTATGATGTAAATAATAATGTTTTCAGCAATGGCATGTTATGTAATTACTCTAGTTAATTAAGGTTTTTTAGTTAAAATGGGTGAGAGAGCTTGTGGAGGTGCCACATAGGAAATGGCATGGTTGTAATAAACACATGAAGTAAAGGTTTGTTTTTAAAAGTTCTCCTCAAATAATAAGAAGGGGATGACGATTTCAGTTATAACATTTAACAGTCGAATTATAAAACGTTAAGACAGTGGTAATAATATTATTTTTTCAACCTTACTTAAGTATCACTTCTTTTATTTGTTTCCACGAGTTATTTATTTAGAAGCTTCGGACAAGAACAGGTCGAGATTTCAAGATTGGTGTTGGGGGGTGCTTGAGCCTGAATCAACCTTTCAGAAATGTATTTAAATAAAATAAAAGGAAATGAAGGAACAAATGCTTACCTCTTATCTGACACTTGATTTGTTCTTCCCAATTTTTTTGTTATATGAAGTTGGAAAGGGGAAACAAAGTATTATTTGCCTTTGTGATCATATATTCATATAAAAAGAATATATATACATATAAAAAGTATTATTTGCCTTTGGATGTAGGATTATGGGATAACAATGTCGTTTCATAAAGCTCCGTTTTTGGTGGATATTGATGTTGTTCAAGGGAAGCGAGTGTTGAAACTTGAGGAGATCTCTGGTAATGCTAATGCTTGGCATGACGCTGATCTTCTTATCTTCAATACTGGTCACTAGTGGAGTCACACCGGGTCTCAGCAAGGGTCAGTTATCAAATTCCAGTGATTTGATTTATTCTGGCAATGAGAAAATGTTTTGTCTTATACTCCTTCTTGTGAAACACACACAGATGGGACTTGATTCAGTCAGGCAATTCTTATTACCAAGACATGGACCAACAACTGCTACGATGATATTTTTGAAAAAGAAATAAAATATTGGCTTATATTATATTTTTGAAATAAGAAAATAAAAATATATAAAAATAGTAGTAGTTGCAAAAAATTAAATACATATTTTTAACGGTATATTTTAACACCGTCATCAAAAGACTAAACCCTAAATCCTAGAGTAAATCTTAATTTCTTAAATCCTAAATAAAAAATACTAAATATTAAAGCACTAAACCTTAATCCAAACTTATAAATCCTTGGAAAAACTAAATAAAAATAGTAATAATTGCTAAAAATGAAATTTTGAAAATATTTTTAACACGTCAATAAAACACTAAACCCTAGATACTAAACACTAAATCTAAAACACTAAACCTATAGGATAAATCATAAACCCTACGGTTTAGAATTTATCAAAGGGTTTATGGTTTAAAATTAAGAGTTTAGTGTTTAGAATTTATCCAAGAGTTTAAAGGTTATGATTTAGAGTTCAAAGTATAGTATTTTTTTCATAGTGTTAAAAAATATGAAAAACCTTTTTGGCAACTACTAGTATTTTTTATTATTTTTATTTCTTATTTTATTTTAAAAATATAATATAAATTGATAATATTTTGTTTTTTTTAAAAGATATTAAATATAAAACAATAAAATATTATTGGTTGATGAATTCAAGATGAAGTCCCAAGAATAACTCAAACCAAAATAGGTAGAGTAGGGACGGTTTGAAGAGTAGGCACTTGATGATCGAGAGAAGTATCGAAGATTGGTTGGGAGATTGATTTATTTGGCTGCGATTAGACCTGATATTGCGTACTCTGTTCATATTTTATCTCAGTTTATGCAGAAACCAAGGGAGGATCACTGGTTAGCTGCACTGAGAGTTGTTCGGTATTTGAAAGGGTGTCCAGGAATGGGAATTTTACTGAAAGCTGAATGCAATTTTCATCTCACAGCTTGGTGTGATCCAGACTGGTCTGGATGTCCGATTACCAGGAGATCTTTGAATGGTTGGTTAGTACAATTAGGGTCTTCCCCTGTATCTTGGAGATCAAAGAAGCAGGATGTTGTGGCTCTTTCGTCAGCTGAAGCAGAATATAGAGCTATGGTTGCTGCATTGAAGGAGTTGAAGTGGATTAAGGGTGTGTTATCATCTATGGGTATTGTACATTCAGGTGCTATGGATATGTATTGTGATAGTAAATTTGCTCTTCGCATTGCAGTTAATCCTGTGTTTCATGAGAGGACGAAACATGTGGAGTCAGATTCTCACTTCATTAGAGATGATATACAAGCAGGAATTTTACGTACGAATCATGTACCAACAACGGATCAATTGGCAGATATTTTTACGAAAGCGTTAGGAGGACGTCCCTTTTAAGCGATCTTACTCAAGTTGGGCATTCGAGATCTCCATGCTCCAACTTGAGGAGGAATATTGGGCTATATTACAATTATGTAATAGTTATGGACTAAGATTGTAAATATATATTAATGATTTTAGGGTTTGTATATGTAACTGAGAGATGACGTTGTAAAGAGGGACAAGAAATAATATAGAGAATTTTCAGATCTTTTAGGCGCTTTCTTCTACTCCGCTATCTTGCGCCGATTCTTCCATATCATCACCGATAAGTACGCATCCTACGTGGCGATTCGAGCTATGCTCGTTTTCGACCAGAAGAAGAAGTATATGATGTACGAGCACCTTCTCCACCACGCGCTCGACATAGCGTGTAATTGATACGGTTGCAAGATCATTCATAACCGACGCTGATGATCCTTTCTAAAGAAATCTTCTACTAGAAGTAATCGCGCGTAACGCTCTCTACCTAAGCAACGATCCTTCAGGAAACTTTGTGGTCCAACACCTGCTTAAACTGCATGACTTGCGTTGCACGCATAAAGTTGGTGTTAGAGCATCCCCATTAGGGATTCTAAGGGAGGGTTCACACGTTTTTCGAGAGAAACAATGATGAACCCGGCGCGCGTGGGTTCGTCGTGGTGAACCCGGTTCGTCACGGGTTCGCCACATGGCGGGCTGTGATTCGCCAAATTTTTTTTTTTTATTTTTTTTTTGAAAAAGTAAAAAAAAAATTATTTTTTATTCCTATGAACCTCTCCCCATCATGTTCATTGATGGGGATGCTCTTAGTCTTCGTGGTCACTGCAGTTGATCTGTCGTTTAAGAAGTATGGAAGCTACATCGTAGAGAAGCTTCTGGATACGGAGGAGTCGATGGCTGTGGTGGTTGTAGAGCTTTTGGAGTGCGATGGAGACAGGCTGATGAGGCTGGCGAGGAATGAGTTTGGGAGTTTCGTGGTGGTCAAGGCACTGAGAGTCACGCAGGAGATGAATAGGGTTGATATGTTTCGGGGTTTGGTGCAGAAGCTGATGCCTCTTCGCCACCTTTTGGTTAGGTCTCACGGAAGCAACATTGCAAAACTCTTGGAGTCGACTATTAATTAGGTTACCTAGCTGGCCAGAATAGTTGTGTATTAACTTCTCGCCCTCTACGGCCTCGAACCGTCGCCTAATTTTATTAAATAAATAAACTGAAAATCTTCAGTTACATTATCGTATGCTTTTCGATAGAATAATAATCTAAAAATTGCATAGCTTGTTAAATAAAGCAGAAAATCATCTTAAAACAAAACAATAGTTAAACTATAATTGTTGTCAACCACAACTAAACGGGCACAACTTGGTTGCCGCACCTAATCTGTGCACAACTCCAGAGAAAGGCCAACAAGATGAGCAAACTAATAAAGGCGCAAATCATGATCATGATGGCATAAGTCATAATGTTTCTTCACAAAACCAAAAACTTATTTTTTCTAAGATCCAGAGAGAACTAGCTTATATACATATATATATGGGAAACCTTATTAAAATAGAAAACAGCTGGACATGAAAAATGAAAAATTCCATTTCAAAAAAGAAAGGAAAAAAAAAGAAACATTCTAAATCTCTTGAAAGTCTATGGCTTTTTAAGAAATTTAAAAAAAAATTTGTAAATCATGCATATGTCATTAATGATTATTAGGAGGAGCAAAAAAAAAAAACAGGAAATTTTGCATGAATCATTCATAAACATTTGATCGAATATGTCAGTTTAAGAAAACTAACTAGGAAATTTGGAAATTGTAACATTTATAGTTGTCCATTAAATAAAGTATTTGTACTTTGTAATTTATCCTTTTCCTTTTATATAATGACTCGAATATATCAAATAGAAAATGACTAAGATAAACCTAAAATTTTTTTTATCACAAATATAGACCTTAACAATTAAAAATGATCAAAATATCACTTAAAAGTTTTATTAAGTATTATACATTTTGGGTTAACTAATCCTAGAATTTTTTTGTTTAGAGTTGAGGAGTAAGGTTTTAATAATAGAATTTCAAATTTTTTTTAAAAAAAAAAAACTTAAAATTTTCAAAATAAAAAGCATTATTTTGGTTTTTGAGGTCTATTTTTGTGATAAAAATTTAAAGGAGTGTTATTTGAGAGAATTAACCTATATCAAAAGAGAAATCATGACTCTTTTAATGTGTGATAATTTAAAGTGGATTATCTTTTAAAATGAAAATATGCAGGTATCGGATAAGCCCAACAAGAGACCTAGTATCAATTTGGCACAAATAATGTCAAGTAATCGGCCCAAAAAACAAAGCGACGTCGTTTATTTGCATCGTTCATCGCTCTCGCGAGAGAGCCGACGAGTACATCCGCAAGCTTTACGCCGAGTTGGACAGTGTCAAGGCTGATGCTGCTTCCATCACGGCGGAGAAGAGCAGACGTGCCTCTCGCTCTCTCACGATTTCTCCTCGCTCGAATCTCAGAACGCGCAGCTTCAATCTGATCTCGATGGTAGATTAGCTGAACTCGCTCAGTCTCAGGCCGAGAAGCAGCAGCTTCATTTGCAATCGGTACGTCCTTGTGTGATTTTGCCTTAGGTTTTTAAGCTTAGAGATTTGAGGGAGACACTTGTTTGATTGCAGATTGAGAAGGATGGAGAGTTAGAGAGGATGATGACGGAGCTACACAAGTCCAAGAGGCAACTCATGGAGTTGTTAGAGCAGAAGGATGCTGAGATTAGTGAGAAGAATTCGAATATTTAGATAAAATTGTGAGTGAGAGTTTGTTACTTAATTAATCTGTGACATGAAGTTTCAAACCTAATTAATATTTTTTAATTGAATATATTATCAGGTTAAGCTGACTGACGCCAGTTCGGAGAAGGAGTCCAGATATGCTGAAGCAGGAGCGGAACTGGCACGCGCTCAAGCTATGTGTAGT